TACTACCCAGAAAGTAATACACATTGTTTATTTTCTGGATTCCATTCATTATCACCAGTGCACCAGAGATAATCCTCATAATCCCATCTTTTTCCCTCACTTCTAAACCTTTTGACTCTAAGGTTCCCACAGAGATGAGATTTCTCATTAAATCTGGTACATAATGGACACCTGTTAACGTTCTGATTGATCCATCCTGATTTCTCAAGCGAATTGAACCAATCCCAAGTGTGTCAAGAGGGGAATTATTTGATGTGTAGACAATTCCACCTTTTAGTTCTTTAAAATCAAAGAACCATTCTCTATTGGGGGTCATATAGTGGCTACAAGCTGAATCTAACAGCCATGAACTGGAACAGCTGGTTGATGGTGTAGCAGCGAATGCGAAATCTGAATCTGCATCATCATACTCGACCACATTTGATTCTGATACAGCCTTTCCCCTTTCAGGTTTGCCTTTGTTCTTTAGCCTGGGACATTCTTTCTTCCAGTGCCCTTTTTCTCGATAAAAGGCACATTCATCTTTGCTCAATCTGGACTTTGACTTCGATCTCCCTCTCCTTCCTTTATTCTGACTCTTCGAACGGCCTCTAACAACAAGAGCTTCTGCTTCGACACTTGTGTTTTCTTGTTTGTCTTTCTTTCTCAATTCATAACTATACAAGGTAGCAGTTACTTCACTGAGAGACACATCAACTTTCCCATGAAGTAGAGTAGTTTCAAGATACTCAAACTCATCAGGAAGTGATCCCATCAACATCAGAGCCAGATCTTCGTATTCAAAAGTCATGTCCATATTCATCAGATCAGTCACCAGCTGATTAAAGCTAGTAATGTGATCATTCATAGTGGTACCTGGTACATAGTTGAAGCGGAACAATATCTTTTTCATGTAGAGCTTGTTCTGACCGTTTTTCTTCAAAAATTTCTCCTCCAGTGTCTTCCACAATTTACTTGCAGAAGTTTCCTTAGAAAATGCATACTTCTGCTCTCTAGAAAGACACGATCGAATACCACATGCTAATCTATTGATCCTCTTCCATTCTTTCTCCTCAACATCATCTGGTTTCTCTCCTTCAATAGCAATGTCTAGACCCTGCTGAAATAGGGCATCTAGAGCCTCACTTTGCCACATACCGAAATGACCGGTGCCATAAAAAATCTCCACTGTAAATCTAACATTTGTCACAACTGTTGACGACGATGTGGATGATTTTGTTGCGTCTGCCATTTCTGCTACAAATTCTATTTAATAGCTGTCAATACGGAATGCCAATTATCCCAAGGAAATTTTTTCTGATGTGGAAGATCAGCCTAAGCCGCAACCACATAACATACTAAAATAAACCAAGAGCTCTGATACCAATTGTTGTGGAATTCGGGTTAATTTCCACCAATAATAACAAAATTCACCTTGAAAACTATTATCTAGGTGACTAGTGTGAAAACGATTGTACTAAAAATCACACCAAGGTAGATTCCCAAGAAAGAGGAGGGGTCACAATGATCCCTCTTAAAACCCACTTTCCTTAGATAGAACTACCAAGACAAGTAATTTTAATAGGACACTAATTAACAACAACTATACTCGACAATAGCTATTAAATAGATATAAAGAGAACACCAAAATTTAACGAGGTTAGGCCAAAATTATGCCTACCTCCTCGAACACTACTAAAATAATATTTCACTAGTAGAGGAAATATTACAAAGAGAGAAAGAGTACAAATAGCCTTTAATAGTGAAGAAGGCTTATATTTGTGGGATGCTTAACTAAGGAGGAGGATGGCTTTATTTATAATAAAAGAATTTCCCCTCCTCCTTATACACAACCAGTGTGGGATTTTGCCAAAAAAACCAACAAACATATCTGGTATTGACCCGATATTAACCGATTCGATATTGATCCAAATCGAAAAACAATCGATCCAATAATCACCTGATCCGATCCACTGTACACCCAAACTAGATCTGATTCAATTCGATTCGAACAAAATTAAACGTAATTGAATCTATACCCGAAATTACCCGAACCAAAATGACTCGACCTAAATCCAATCCGAATGACTTGTTTGCCACCTCTAGTAAAATGTGTATATATCTTTTGAATATTTCAAATTAAATGATATTATTATCTGTTTAAATTTAAATATCAAAATATATCTGATTGAAGTAAATCTCTCTTGTAAATGCTGAGTTAACCTACTAAACAGAAGTTTCAAGAAATTTTTTTACAAGTTCAAAAGAAGAAAAAAAAAATTCTTGATTAGTTTTTCGGTGATAGATGAAGTCAATGATAATTTGTGATCAATGCAGATTTGATACTGTAGTTGATCATCTAGTTGTTGTATCCTGAAAGATAGACGACCAAATATCACGAGCACCAAAGAGTGATCGAACATTTGTCTTAAGGAAATTGTGTAGTGACAAGCCTCAACTGTTTCCGATCGATAGATCAATAAAAAGAATATTTTTATTTTTATTTCTATTTATTTTTTATTTGACTTTTTAAGAAGTTCTAATTTCTTCTATTTTATTTTCTCAAGTTGGATTTTGTCTCGAATTGTTATTTTATCTAACATTCTTAAGAAATTATTTTATATTTTTAATCCAGACGAACAGATTCAATTACGTCTACCGTGTAGCTTCACTGCAAGCTTGTAATATAGTAACATGTTTAAATCTTGCTTTTGTAAATGTTCCTAATATATGTATGCCTGGCTTCAACAAATTGCTAGACTTGATGCATAAGTTGTGGCATTAAAAAGAATGCCACTACCATTCAACGGTTTTTCTACTTTGTTTGATATAGCAATAGTAATATAAGTCTAATATGGATTATTCTTTTGAGTTTAATTTGTGATCAAGGGAACCATGATGATGAACGAACGAAGTTTGTGATCAGCGGAAGCTGATTCAACGAAATTCTAAAAGAATTCATGTAAGGTTTTAAAATTTTCAATTGAGAATTCAAGTTGGGATTCGTCGCTTTGCCTTTTGAGGGGTGCACCTTGAATCATGGTGGTTCAAGTGTTTGATTGATAACGATGAAGTCAATCAAGTAGGTGGAATTTGAATATTTCTCTTTAATCCGAAACGATTCAGAAGAATTTCTTCTATCTTTCTTTAATATGAAACGGTTTAGATATTGTGAAAAAAACGAGATAGCAAATAACATTACATATTAGCTAACCAAAGCATTAAATCGAGATCAAGTTGAGAAAACATCTAAAGAAATGTGACTAAAACCCATGAAATTTAAAGGCTTTATGTGAAGGAAGACCCTACCTTGTTGACTGGAGATTCCAAGGTTTATAGAAACAATCAAATTGCATAAACTGTGTACGATCACTATGGGAGTCTATCATCCCAAATCCATTCATATGATGTAAATAGTGATCAAAGTGATATAGGTTAAACAAAACTTTTAATGACCATGTGCTTCGGTGATCCGAGCAATATAAGTCACCTACATGAGAGTGAAGTGGTGCCGCTTCAAGGAGACTATTGGTCATAGTTCTTTCAAACTCTTGCAGAACCAAGTGATGTTCATGGGTTTAAGGACACACCCATGAGAACTAAATTTTTTTTGGGGGCAATTGTGTTAAGTATATCATCATTTACACAAACGGTAGAATAATTCAAGGATTTCGCGTATGCTATTTAGCCAATAAAGTAAATATATTGTCACAAGGGAAGGTTCAAAGGAGGACACCTACCTATTGTATGCAGCTATCGATCCTAGATGCTATCACCACACCGTGTCGAAATGTTTTTGATAAAATCATCAATTTCATTCATGTGGGAGATTGTTGGAAAAAGAGTGAAATTCATTTACAAAATTAATATTTAAATTAAATTCATATTTCTTTTGACTATTACAAATTAAAAGATATTTCTACTCTGAATTTTAGTAGGGCAATTACTCTTTGAATATGTCAAATTAAAAGATATTTATTATCTATTTAACTTTGAATATTAAAGATAATTATTAAAAATAATATCTTTTTAAGTTTGAATAGTCAGATATCTATATCTTTTGAATATTTTAAATTAAAAAATATTATTATTTGTTTACATTTAAATATCAAAAGATATCTAATTGAAGTAAATCTCTATTGGAAATCCCCTATTAATATTGAGTTAACCTGCTAAGTTAAACACAAGTTTCAATAAGTTTTTTCTCACAAGTTCAAAAGAAGAAAAAAATTTATCCATTATTTTTCATATGATAAACGAAGACAATGATAGTTCGTGATCTCTGCAGTTGTGCTAATGTAGCTGATCATCTCGTTGTTGTATCCTATAAGACAAAAGACGAATTATCTCAAGCACCAAGGAGTGTTCGAAAATTTATCTTAAGAAAACTGTGTAGCGACATGCCTCAACTGTTTCTGATTGAAAGATCAATAAAAGACATTTATTTTTTATTTATCTTTTTAAGAAGTTTTAATTTCTTCTATTTTATCTACTCATATTCGATTTAGTCTCGAATTATTGTTTTGTGTAACAATCTCAAGATGAAATAATTTCATTCCTTATCTTTCTTTTTGTAATAATATGATTATTATTACTATCGTTATCATTTTCTATTTCATTCTCGAATTAATATTTTTTTTCTAAAATTTACTTTTTATGATAAATTCATGATATAGGGATCATATATGATGGATGTAAGTTGCATGAATGAAATGAAGCCGAGAAAATTGGGGATTTTTATATATATATTTTATTTCTATATGGGAGTAGCATCGATACAAATTGTGAAGTATTGATATTTATTAGGAAGTATCAATGCTACAAATAAAATTTTAAGGTGGACACCATTATTAAAATAAACAACTGACATAAAAAATTTCAATTTCAATTTCAAGATGGACAGGACCAACCAGACAACACTTACCTCCGCCATTAATTATAAAATAATGATAAATTAAGTATTAAAGTAGATAAAAAAAAATAAGTATCAAGCAAAAACATGTATTATTTAAAGTTACAACCGCAAATTAAACCTTTCAGTTGTCTAACGATCTCCATGCATATATTCTTCGTGCAGAATCATCAACTGTTCTGCTACCTGTTGAAATAATGAGTTCAAATTAGAAACTTAAATTAATTCACAAATAAAGAAGACAGTTAAATTTCGGTTAATTCAGCCAACTGAATCTAAAAACGATTGATTTCATTGTTTAAATCCTTGAGATATGTACCGCTTCAATGCTCCCATCCTCGATCTCTGTATTCAGAGATAGCAGCATTCTTTCGTGAAGCAAATTTTCTAAATCTTCTATTTGGTGTGCTGCAAAATCAATGTATTTAAGTCAATATTCTCATTCCAAGAATGCACCTTAACAAGGCATCAAAACAACAAAAGATTATATCCTTTTTTCAAACAGGGGCAGACTCGGAAATTTATGTTAGAAAGATGGAATTATAAAATCTTGGCATAATACCCGAAAAATACCACTGATGTTTGGCTAGATAGTCATTTTGGTCCGTATTCTTTGTTTGGAGCATTTTAACCCTACAACATTTAATTTTAGGACGAAAATGTTCTTATTTTGGAACGTTAACCATTTGCTGACCAGCGATTTTCATCCACGGAGGGACCTTTTTGCCCAAAATGAAACGTTGGGGGCCGAAATGTTAAAAAATAAAAGAATAAGGGCTAAAGTGACTATTTAGTCAAATATTAGAGTCATTTTTTTATTATTGTGCCTAACATTTTAGGGGACAAACTTATAATATTTTAAGAGACAATAACATATTATCAATAGAAAATACAAAGAAAATACTTAAACTATGTGAGAATTTAAATTTTCAAACTCCGTCGACCGCTCGATCAATCCCTACCTATTTCTATAAATTTATTGTTATAATCAATAAGAAAAGAAAGAAGGAACCTTTGGAATGAAGGAACAAGAGAAGACATCAGCAGCAAGCTGTTGGGATTTCTGAAAGGAATCATGGCCACCCCATTGGTTTTGGATAGCCATTTGAAGACCATGCCATCTGGATAGAAGCACTGTAATTCTTTCAAGCAAATAATCATGAGAAGCTGATGAGGATTGAAGAGTTGAGGGATAACTCGAATGGTTGTTTTGTCCATTCAAGGACCCCATCTTCTCTATTTCTTTCCAAAATATCACCATACAAGGAAATTGACACTTCTTAATGTCTACATATATTGTTGGTCTTTGTTTGTTGACAATATGAGAGTAAGATTGAAAGAGGCCCGAAAAGTTGGGATCCAATGAGCAATGATAGGTCGAGAATAGTCAACCAAATTGAGCAATATGATGAAATTTGACACAATTATCAACAATTATGCATACTCGATCGGACACCGAAACTTAAAAAGATAAAAATTTCGGAATATTTAAGTAAATGTGTTCATGATTTGGATTGTTGTTGATATATATATATATATATATATATATATATGGACAAAATCCTCTTGCATAGTGTAAGATTCTTTTAGTTTTACACAAATTTAGAACTGTTTGACGAGTGAAAACATATGGCTGAGATTAAAAGTAAAAAATGTGAAGATATTTATCGGGGAAAAAAACAAGAGTCAATCTCAATCATCTATTTTTACTCATCCAACGGTCCTAAATCTATGTAAAACTAAAGTGTTCTACATTGTGTAAGTAGATCCTAACACACACACATATATAATGATTAATTCAAATTAAGTATGATATAATGCAATTAAAATTAATTGGATTTCAGTAATTAAATAAATTGTCACACTTTAATTTTAGGGCTAAATTTTTATTTAGTATAATTGAAGATCAAATCACAACTTTTAGAAATTCAAAAATTATTTTTTAAATTTAGAAAAGAGTTAAGGGACAATATTGATTAGTATTAAAGTCTTAAATCTAAATTGAAATTAAATTATGAAAAATAAGGACTAAGTTGAATTCAACAAAAATATTAGTCTAAAAGGTGAACTCCAAAGAGATCAATGGCTTCAGGTGCAATTTACTCATTATTATTTGGAAGGCTAAAGAGAAGCAAAAAGATACTTTTAGGTAGGAGTGAGCAAAACTCGACTCGAAAAAGCGATTTTTTTTATTTTCAATTTATTTGAGTCTAGTTATTCTAGTTAATTGAATTAACTCGAATTATAAATTCGATTTTGAGTTTGAGCCGAGTTTAAATTTTGAATTTTCGAGTTACTCGAAAAATCAAAATTTGACTAAGTATTTTGATAGTTTTACGATTTAGTCATTGGTTTCATTATTTCTTCAATTCCTCCTTCATTTTAAGTTCATTTTCACTAAATTTGAACCACATGCAACTAAACCATAGAAGAATACATGTTTACTTTCAATTCCTCTTTTTGATAACAAATTTTGTATTTTTTTAATTTAGTCTTCATTTTTCATAATCTCATTTTTTCTTCAATTCGTCATTATTTTAAGTCCGTTTTTACCAAATTTGAGTCATATGCTCCTAAACCCTAGTAGAATACATGTGTAATTTCAATTCCTCTTTTGATAACAATTTTTTTATTTTTCAATTGAGTCCTTCAATTTTTCATAATCCTTATTCCTTCAATTTATGGTTTATTTTAAGTCCATTTTTTACCAAATTTGAACCACATGCTCATATACCATAATAGAATACCTATATAACTTCAATTGTTATTTTTAACTAAGATGTACTCGCTTTTTTATGTAGTCCCTTAACTTTGCATTTTACTCAATTTGGTCTTTTGACTACAATTGCTTGCAAATTCTTTCTTCTCATCATTCGTTGACTCGTTTATACTCTCATCATATTTTACCCTCAAAATATTTCTTTAAAATATAGTATTATGAATATAATTCATAATTTTAGATTGTATTTGATATATTAATAACATTATACTATGAAATAATATAACCATAATATATATATATATATATATATATATATATATATTATGGTTAGATAAAGATAAAAAATTGGAACAAATCATTGCCATAATACTAGAAATAATTATTATAAAATCAGTATAGAAACTCGAATAACTCGACTCAACTCGAAAAAATTTCAAGTTAAGTTCGAGTGGTAAAATACGACTCATCACTCGAACAACTCGAAATTTTTTTACTCGACTCAACTCGATCGAATGCTCACCCCTACTTTTAGGGGATTTAAGAATGATTCTCAAGTACCTAACCAATTGCACTATGATGCCATTAAAATATAGGGTAAACTATACCATTGATCAGTTAACTATTTAACCTTTTTACTTTTACCACCGATTTTTCAATTTGTCAATCATATCTCCAAAATATTCAAATGATGCCAATCAAGCCACTTGTCGAACCAAGCGAGTTCGGTGGTAAAGAAATTGTTGTTATTCCTTGAGGTACGAGTTCGAGCACCAGAAATACTAGGGATGTGAGCTTTCAATGTCAAATGATTGAAAGTTATCTTTAAACAAATATTGTCTTGTACTTACCTAATATTATTAAAAAAATAAAAATAAAAGTCTTGACGTGGTAGTTAACAAAATTGGTATAATTATATTCGAATGCTCACCCCTACTTTTAGGTGACATTTGGTTCGCATGAATCCATTGGAATTAGGGGGAATTGGAATCCAATTCCACCACTTTCCCATGTTTGGTTCATGTTTTCCAAGGGAATTGGAATCCCTCATGGCTTCAACTTTCCATCAAATGAGGGAAAGTGAATTCCATCCATTCTATGATGGAATTCAATTCCTTTGTTGGAGGGAATTGAAATTTGACCATACTACCCTCATCAATATTTTGGTAACTTATTCATATATTGAATAAAAATATTTTTTATTATTCGGGTCAGGTAGGGTCGGTCTTTTAAGTGTTATATTCGGGTCGGGTCGAGTTCGGGTTTAGGGTGAAAAATACCCGACCCGAAAATATATATAATTTTACCTTATATATTTAGGAATAATTACAATAATACCCTCTATATATAATTTTTTTTCAATTAAGTCACTGTTTTTATGAATAAAATAATTTTTTTTATTATTTCGGGTCGGGTCGGTCGGATTTCTAATTATATTCGGGTTAGGTCGAGTGAAACTTTATTTTGGTCGGGTCGGGTCGGTTTTTTTTAAGTGTGCTATTCGGGTCGAGTTCGGGTTTAGGGTGAAAAATACCTGACCCGACCCAACAAATATATAATTTTACCTTATATATTTAGAAATAATTACAATAATACCCCTATATATATATTTTCAATTAAGTCACTGTTTTTATTGAATAAAAATATTTTTTTATTATTTCGGGTCGGGTCGGGTTTCTAATTCATATATTCAGGTCGAGTCGGGTGAAACTTTATTTTGGTTGGGTCGGGTCTCGGATGGAGGTTCCCTTGTTCTCGGGTCGGGTCGGGTGGACCAAAAACCCGACCCATGACCATCCCTAATTGGGATAATTTTAACTTATGATGTTTATTAGCATGATTTTTATAATTTATTGAAATGAATAATCAATCAATAAAATTTAATTTTTTTAAAATTTTTACAATATATTGCTACATGTAATTTATAAAACAAACTAAAATTAAGCAAAAAAAAAACAAGAAGGGCAATCTTGTCATTTTACATTACTGAAATCAAATTCATCTAACATGTCTGCGAACCAAACATAATATGGAATTGGATTCCAATTCCTGACAGATTCCAATTCCTTCACAGATTCCAATTCCTGATAGATTCCAATTCCTGATAGATTCTAATTCTTTCACAGATTCAAATTCCCTCAGAAACATTACAGCGAACCAAACACCACCTTAGGGGATTTAAGAATGATTCTCAACTACCTAACCAATTGCACTATGATGCCATTAAATATAGGGTAAACTATACCATTGATCATTTAACTATTTAGCCTTTTTACTTTACCACCGATTTTTCAATTTTGTCAATCATATCTCCAAAATATTCAAATTATGTTATTCCTTGAGGTCCCAGGTTCGAGCACTAGAAATACTAGGGTGTGAGCGTTCAATGTCAAATGATTGAAAGTATCTTTAAACAAATAGTCTTGTACTTACCTCATATTATTAAAAAACAAAAAAGTCTTGACGTGTAGTTAACAAAATTGGTATAATTATATTCGAATGCTCACCCTTACTTTTAGGGGATTTAAGAATGATTCTCAACTACCTAACCAATTGCACTATGATGCCATTAAAATATAGGGTAAACTACCATTGATCATTAACTATTTAGCTTTTTTTACTTTTACCACCGATTTTCAATTTTGTCAATCATATCTCCAAAATATCAAATGATGCCAATCAAGCCACTTGTCGAACCAAGCGAGTTCAGTGGTAAAGAAATTGTTGTTATTCTTTGAGGTCCAGGTTCTAGCACCAGAAATACTAGGGGTGTGAGCGTTCAATGTCAAATGATTGAAAGTTATCTTTAAACAAATAGTCTTGTACTTACCTCATATTATTAAAACACAAAAAAAAAATCTTGACGTGGTAGTTAACAAAATTGGTATAATTATATTCGAATGCTCACCCTACTTTTAGGGGATTTAAGAATGATTCTCAACTACCTAACCAAGTGCACTATGATGCCATTAAAATATAGGGTAAAATATCATTGATCAGTTAACTATTAGCCTTTTTACTTTTACCGCCGATTTTTCAATTTGTCAATCTTATCTCCAAATATTCAAATGTTCCAATCAAGCTACTTGTTGTACCAAGCGAGTTCGGTGGTAAAGAAATATTGTTATTCCTTGAGGTACGAGTTCGAGCACCAGAAATACTAGGGTGTGAGCGTTCAATGTCAAATGATTGAAAGTTATCTTAAACAATATTGTCTTGTATTGCATCATATTATTAAAAAAGTCTTGACATAGTAGTCAACAAAATTGATATAATTATACATTTGGTCCTCAATATTTACATTCAATCAATTTGATCTTAAATTTAATTTAATTCAATAAATTTAATCCACCAATTAGATGGTGACACATGTTTTCATTAGATTAATAATTAGATAAATTATTTTTATATAATTTAATTATTTATCTACCGACCAG